GAACCCTGCCTGCTGAGCTGGCCGGGGCGGCCGCGGGGGCACGCAGCTCTCCCGGGCACGCAGGGAAGGGGCGCAGGGTTGGCGGCCGGCTGTGGCGTTCAGCTCTTTGAACCCCTCAGCCACTCCGGAGCTGCAGCTACCGGAGATTTTTAGCAGAGACTTGTAACATTTTTGTTTGTCAGATTGCTCTGGAGTTGCCCGAAATAGGCTTAAGTCTGGTGCAGAAGCAGCGAGCCAGGGCCAATTCTCCGCTGATGTCAACCGGCACCGACTGCCTGCCTTCAGGGGAACCACGTGGGGACTGCCAGGCCCACAGACCTTTTGGAAGATGTATTTCTCTTTTCAACGAGTGTATTCTGTTAGACAAGAAAATGAGTTGTGGTAGCAAATGGGATTTTCCCCTGGAAGTTCTACTTCTACTTCTACTTCTACTTCTACTTCTCTACTTCTACCTCTACCTGGTTTTAAACCCTCCCTCCTTGCTGCCCTGTAGCCAAAGCCCTACTGCTAGAAGCACAATGTTCCCACCAGCGGCAGGGCACCTCTGACACCAGCCGGGAAGTCCCAGCTAGATGCATGGGAGAACCTGTTTGGTTTTGTGTCAAACCGCAACAACCATATGGATTGGAAAGATTTATTTAAATCCAGATGTTGGACCACGTCCTGCACATTCAACTGCGGAAACAGGTCACAGGCTTTTGTTGTTTCCGCTGCTGTGTTTTAAAATAGAATTTCAGACCCCACGGTTTGCAGACCTACGGTCCATGTGCTGTAGCCCTCTGGTGCCAGCTCCTTTGAGCCCGCCCGCAGGTTCCTGCTCGCCCGACAGCAGGCAAAGAGAAGCCCCGCCAAAAATCAAACCACCTCAGCTGGAGCTTCAGAAACTTCTAGCTGCGGCTGGTGGCTCCCACAGCCCGGCGCAGCATGCTCCCCAAGCTGTATTAAAACACTTAAAGCAGTTGAAATACGTGACTCGGATGCTGTTTCTGCTCAGCAGCATCTGCGACCTACCTGTCCAAGTCGTCTGGTTAGTTAAGACGAAAGCTTTGCACTGGGAGTAGCTGTCACAGATCTCAATGGCTTCGTTGACGTCAAACACAGAGAGGAGGCAGCCCTTATGATGGTAAGATGGCCAGCATCTGTAGTTCTCATCAGGAATAAAAGCTTCAGGCACCCGTCTGTACTCTGCAAATAACCACAGCAAAGCAATCGCTTTGAAAGCTCTAGCAAACTGCTTGTTTTTAGCAGGCAAGGTTTATTATAACAGCTTAGGAGCGGGATATATGATGGAAAAGGTGACGGGCTAGACGGTACCAGCCCCGGTTTACTCCCAAACGTGTTTATAGCTCTGCACCTTACTTTCCTTTTCCTTTCCTCCTTTCTTCTTCTCACCTTCTTTTCCAGAAAGCGTCTGTAAATAAACAGGATTCCCCTTCCCCACTGCGTAGGAGAGGCTTTGGTTTTATTAGGAGTTTTACAGGAAGAATGTCCCATTGAATAAACAGCATCCACTTGAATGAACTGACTCACTGTCCTACTTCTTAACAGTGAGTGGGATTGTCGGGGTGAGACCCGATCAGGCGTTCCCAGCCCTCCCTCTCCCTCAGAAGAGCATGCTATTTTCCTTTAGAGAAGGAAGAAAAGACAGGCTTTTAATTAAGCAAACTTTTTTTGCTTGCTCAGATTAGCACAAAAGGGGAGTCGCTTGATGGGCCTCCGAAGAGAAGGAAGAAAAAAAAAGCAGGGGGAGCATGTCAGCGTGGCCCTCGCCCAGCGCCTCCGCGCTGCCCTGCCGATCGCTCCCCTCCCTTGGCTGCCGTTCAGTCTCTCTTGCCTTTATGAGCTGCCTCTTGTTCTCTGTTCACAGCTCCTCTCACTTTCCCAGCCGCTGACGGGGGTTCCTCTAATGAATGCATCAGCAAATTCAACTAATCATTTATAAACATTGCTATTGAGCGTCCAGACGCACAAATTGACGGTTCCCCTCTGTCTCTCTCCCCTACATCCTATTCAAAAAAATAAATAACATTCTGTATTTCTTCTAATTGTATCTGTTATGGAAACCAGAGCTGCCGGCCCTGACTCACAGCCTATTCTTAAGTCACTTTGGTTCAGGCATTTTCTGCCTGACATTGCAGATTCAGCCTGCTAGTATTTCAGGCAGCACATTGTACGAACACCACCGAGTCAGAGGCGAGTGTGCGTCTACTACTCTAAATTGCCACTATTTCAACTAGGAAAAGAAGTACACATCCACAAGTGCTCGTTCACACCACACAGTCTGAAATAGTGGGAAACAAATGCAGTAAATGCATTTGTTTTTTAAGCCTGGCTCATTAAAAGTATCGTAAGAAACATTGACAAACAAGAAGCAAAATCAGAGCTGATCATGTCTCACTTAAATCAAAGGCAAAAAAGTTGTCATTAATTCAGAAAATGCAGACTCACATAGATGGAAGAAAAAAGAACCCAAAATAAAAATGCAGTTTTACATTACAAAATACGTATGTATTTCTTCTGAAGAAAAGTTACAGCATAAATCAAACTGGATTTATTTACTGGCTGGATAGGTAAAGTCCCTTTTTTTCAAATTTCTGTATCAACGGTATAGTATAACAATAATTGAATGTAACCGAATAATATTCTCTTATCTCTGTATGGTAACTGCCGAGTATTGATTTGTACCTCACAGCCAAGCTCAGTAGAATGATATGTGCAAATTAAATGCAAAAAAGTCAATATACCCCATACACAACTATCTGTATCAGTGTGCGTGCCATGTTGACTGGATGTAAAATGTGACTATTCACAACTTTTCTTTGCACGGCTACAGAAGTGCCACCGAACACTGCACTGCGCCAAACCCCATGCCACGGAGGACATTCATGGAATGATGGCACTTGCTGCAGCCACAGAAGATGAAGCAACTGCCTGATTCCCTGTGTCAGCAGGGAGCGTGCCCCGGCCCTTCCCGCGGGCGCTCTCGGAGCCTGCCGGGCTCCGCGCCGGGGCTGGGAGGGAGCTGCAGCATCCCTCGGCACGCCATCAGGGCGCTGAGCGGAGCAGCCCCACGTCATGTCATGTATTTTTCTCCGTGCAAGGCAGGAGCCCGTCTGGAAGAGCCTCATTTTTAATTATCATTTAATTTTTAAACTCTTCTGCGCACAGATTTGCCTCTTAATACACCTATAGCACTTTCTTTCTTCTCAACGCTGTTCCCGGTACAGCTGTCAGGGGTTAGGCTCTCGGCTGACGTGAACAGATTTCAAAAGAGCAGCAGTGATTTACGTGACCTGAGGCTCTGTCAGAGGTAGGAGATAAAGTTCTCCCTTTCCATTGACTTTTTCAAGGTGACCGAGCCTGGTAAATCATTTGGGCAGCTTGGACACATTAATTGACGGAGTTGGGCCAGCAATAACTGCGATGGTGATGGCGAGGTCCTGGCTTGCAGGTGCAAGAGAGGATGGAAACCTCCACGCCGGTACTTAGGGTGGTCTCACCATGCAGCAGAACCCTGTGGCTGTCCCTACTCTCCTTGCCAGCTCCTTCACGAGGGAAATCACCACCACCGGCAACGACTCATAGGAACAGGGTAGCGTAGCAGGTACACAGCAGTGCGACCCACGTGCAAAGAGCATTTTCCTCGACTGGCAGATCATCAAGCACCAGACAGGTGAAAATACAGCCACTGGAGTCTAAGTGAAAGCACAGAGTCACACAGGCTCCACAAAGGCAGCTTCTGGCAGCTCCCCCGAACCGGCACCGTCTGCTGAATGCCCGCAGTCTGGGGACCTGAGCTGCCTGCAGGGAGGGGAGTGGGATGAAGCGAGGGGGAAAGGCAGGAAGGCAGCCCCTCTCCCCGCTTGCGTGGCAGGCGGCAGGGATGGTTGCCCAGGAGCGCCTTTCCCTGGGAGCATCCCGATGGGAAGGCGGCCACGGGGAGCAGAGAGCGGGACAGGCGATGGCCCCGCACCCTGGCTCATGCTCCCAAACCAGCCAGGCGCTCCCGCCACCCCGGCAAGCCAACACGGGATCTCCTCTTAAACTATTATAGTCAGAACTGATCAGAAACTCATTGCAACACCAACCAAGCGCTGGCCTGAGGAAACCGCATTTCTCTCCAAAACTCACTTTATCTCGAGCAGAGCAAGGAAGCTGCCTTCCCCGTTTGCATGACGAAGGCAAATATCCCTGGAATCTCTTGTTTACACAGCGACAAATTAGGGAGCTGACCCCTTAGCCCTTATTTGCACGAGTTGTGAAGAAATGTGCTCCTCTCGCATGAACTAGAAGGACGCCCCTGAAGGATGCCCCTACATCGAGATGTGCCCCCGTAAGGACATTAGTCCCAGCCCGCAGGAGGGCTGGGCTTCCCCTACACCTTTAAATGATCATCTTGGTCACTGCAGTGCAGTTCCTTGCTCAACTAAGCAATACTCCACTGGTTTAAAGACAGCTCCAGCTCAGGTTTTTGTCCTGCCAAGACCTGAAACTTGCTTAAATGGAGTCCATGGAATTTGAAGGCTCACGGCAGTAAATCACATCATAAAAAGGTCAAAGTTCTGGTCGATTTCCAGACTAATGGTGTTTAAAACCAATAAATACTTGCCTAATACTATAAATGCAGCCATAAATTTACACTTTTGCGTACATACATGTAGCTTGACACGGAGTACATAAAGTCTACCAAGGTAATGGCAAGGAATAGATCAGAGAAATGCAAGATGCTCCTGCCGGTATCACAACAGAAAAAGAATCCTTTTCTCCACCTACTGATTCTGTAAGGATTCAGGCAAATAAATATAATGCAGTGATAAATATAAAGCCTTGACATCACTTACGAGAGGTTTTCTCCAGTTTACCATATGGGAGCTGATTTGCTGCTCACAGCTATACAAATAAATCCTACTAGGAAGCATCTTTCCTGCCCTGTAAACTTTTTGAAACTTCAAAATCTCTTGCTATGCTGAATCTGGGCAATCCTCAAAAGTTTTGTTTTGTGATATTTTTAGTAGTTTTAAAATATTTTTACAAGTTTGCTCTGGTCAAGCAAAATATGCTGTTTCAATCAGGTCAAAATATTCTTAGACGTTTCTTACAGTGCTAGCCAGCCCCCGCAGCAGCCACAGCAATTTTCCAAACGAGCATCTTCTCCTGACAGGTAAGAGGCATCTTTAAAAGCAACCTGCAGCATCCCTGACCGGGGCAAGAGCTACAAAAGAAAGTCAACGCTTTAAAATCTTGTTCTAAATTTTTTCCATCAAAAATCACCTGCGTTGTCCCACAGCCGACTACAATCTATAAACATGCTCATTTTCACTGTGCTAGACTGAATCATATAAATAACTCCACAAGTATATAATAAACTATGTGAAACCGCCTGTGGTTTCCCCCTTTTAGCTTGTTTGAATCACCCTAAATCTGACTTTAATCAGTCCTAATGACCGTTTATTTCAGCCACAGCAGCCAGATTGCAATTTTACTACCAACTACAGCTACTCGTTGGAAATTTGCCCAGTTCTCTTTTCTAGTTATCACCTGCCAATGCACCAAGGGTCAATGACACAGACGCAGTAATGTTCATCCTTGAGAGAGAAATCATGTTGCTCCTTTTCCTCCCTCCTCTTTTCCTCCACTCTCGAGAGGAACACTGGCAGTCGACTCTGGATTTGCTTTTAATTGCTTTGCTTACAAGTAAGCAGAAAGAGCCTGATCTTGCCAATCTCAGCAAAAAGTGGTATTGAGCAGTGTTTTGCTCTACAAACAGTCCCCACCGATTCCCAAGGAGCTTATGGAGAACAGAATCGGATCCTAAACAGACAATAACACACTTACGTTTTCAGTACGCTTCATTTTATGCCGAAATTTTCCTCATGCTTCAATACCTCACATTTAAACATGCTTCTGACAACGAGCCTCGCAAAGCCCTATGCGCAGTTGCACTACAGAAAGCTATTTTTCGGTATGTCTGAGAAAATGACATGCTAGGCGTATCCCGCGCGTCTCTGCTTTCAATCATTTCTGACGAATCCCAACTGTTTGGAAGGACAGACAGGCCTGGCAGGACAGGGGTTTGCCGTCAGACCGGGAGATAGCCCTGCTTCTCTGGTGAGTATTTCCGTCCTTTGGCTGTTTCCCGCATGCAGGCTGGAAGCGAAGTACGGCTTGCCTCTTTTTATACGCTT